TAGTTAGTTCTCCAAGTCGTTTGTACTAAGTAGTCAATTTGGGTACTATTATAGAATTAGCTCCACTTCTATAGGTCACAAGGTGAGAGTCTTTTTTCTTAAACGAAATGTTCATTATAGCCAACTCATATGTCGAGACAGAATTTAGAATGTTCTTTCCCGCTTCATTTCTAGTGCCAAAACCATGTCCACCATGGTTACTCTCAAAACCATCGCGACTTTGGCTCACATGCTCGTTGAGGTTGCCTCCTGTGACCAATTTCTCTCCTCTTGGCACTCATTGCACCATTTTCTCAAGATCGTTTCAAATTTGTTGAGTGATAGCTACACCCAACCCCACTTGTTGTGCATAGGCGCTTACCACATATATGATCTCATCTCCATTTAATGCTCATGATGCGGTCATTCTTCCTAAAGACTTCCACCACACCCTCAACATAATCATGTGCCACAATAATGCCTACTCCATTTCTGGTCTTCTCTCTCCTTGAATACCACAATTTAAAATCTCTGAGGTTAATCTCGCGTGCGTTTTCTCCAACCCACTTAGTTTCTTGCACACGCATAATGCAAATATTCCTCCTCGCAAAGAACAATCTAGCACCCCACATTCTATTCTTCACACCACATCGACCCCTACCATGCCCTTGCATATTTGACACCATCCTCAGACATTGGAGTGGTGTTGCTTTCTAGCAACGATCTAGCAGTCTTAGCATTCTTATCACTACACCCAGGCCTACGAAATATAGCACACCCTTTCATATTTGACGCTACCCCCATGCGGAGGGATGACACGTTACTTACGGGCAACGGCTTAGCTATAGCGATACAAAAACAACAACATCCAAGTCTTAGTCCCAAACGATATTGGGGTCGGCTAACATGAATCGATACATGATATCACCAAAAGGAAAAGAAAGAAAATAAAGATAAAAAAGATAAGCTATTATAAAAAAAGATAATCTAAAAGAGATGAATATACATATAAAAGATAAAATAGAAAGAATAAAGTAATATTTATATATAAGGATAAAAATATATAAAAAAAATAAAAATAAAAATAAAAATAAAAAAGAAAGAAAAAGAGGGGAAAAGATTATACAAGATCACTCCTCCACACGAATACCCGCCCTTCATTTTGTTCTCTCCAAAGCCATACCCTCATCCAATCCAAGAAGAAGCATATCCCTTCTGACTCCCCTAACCCATGTCTGTTTGGGCCTTCCTCTCCCTCTCTTCCCTGCCTCTTCTCCACACATCTCAACGCGTCTGACAGATGCATCACTCGGTCTTCTATGCACATGACCAAACCACCGTAGGCGCGACTCCCGCATCTTATCTTCAATAGGTGATACTCTCACCCTTTGTCTAATTGTCTCATTCCTCACGCGGTCCTTTCTAGTATGCCCACACATCCAACGCAGCATGCGCATCTCTGCCACACTCATCTTTTGAATGTGACATTGTTTTACCGCCCAACACTCCGTGCCATACAGTAATGCAGGCCTAATTGCTGTCTTATAAAATTTACCCTTCAGTCTAGTCGGCATACCTCGATCGCATAGAAATCCTGACGCACTCTTCCACTTCATCCACCCTGTTCTGATTCTATGGGATACATCTCCATCTAACTCACCGTCCTTCTGAATTATGGAGTCCAAGTAACGGAACATATCGCTAACCGGTATCTCCTTACCATCTAAAGTAATTCCGCTATTACCACTGCTTCTACCTCCACCAAACTTGCACTCCATGTACTCTGTCTTGCTCCTACTTAGTCTGAAACCCTTGTTCTCCAATGTTTGTCGCCATACTTCCAACTTTGCTTTAACCCCTGATTGCGTCTCATCAATCAATACAATATCGTCGGCAAACATCATGCAACACGGTATATCGTCTTGAATTGACTTTGAAAGTTCATCCATGACTATGGCAAATAAAAAAGGGCTCAGAGCCGATCCTTGGTGCACTCCGATAGTAATAGGGAACTCCGCAGTTCTGCCTACACTAGTATGGACACTTGTAGTACAATCCTCATACATATCCATGATGATGCTGATATACTTGCGTGAAATGCCTATCTAGTTAAGGCCCACCAAAGAACTTCTCGAGGTACCCTATCATATGCCTTTTCTAAGTCAATGAACACTAAATGCAAATCCTTGTGAGCGTCTCTATACTTCTCCATAAGTTGCCAAAGCGGGTGAATAGCCTCAGTTGTTGAGCGACCAGGCATAAAACCGAATTGATTCTCTGAAATCTTCACCGTTCTTCGAAGTCTTTGCTCAATCACTCGCTCCCAAAGTTTCATGGTATGACTCATAAGCTTAATCCCTCGATAGTTGGCACATTCTTGTACATCACCTTTATTCTTAAATAAGGGAATAAGAGTACTCTTTCTCCAACTCGTTGGCATCTTGTTGTTTCTCCAAATCTTGTTGAAGAAATTTGTTAACCACCCGATGCCTCTCTCTCCCAAACTTCTCCAAGCCTCGATCGGTATGCCATCAGGACCCACTGCTTTCTTCCGCCCCATCTTCCTCAGCGCCTCTTTAACTTCCGTTGGTTGGATCCTTCTCACAAAATCACGATTTACCATACAATCTGGTATGGTCAAATCACCGATATCTTGCACTTTGTTCCCGTTGAACAATGTATCAAAGTATGACCTCCACATCTCTTTTATCTCTTTGTCCTCCATTAATATCCTTTGATCGACATCCTTCACACACTTAACTTTTCCGATATCTTGAGTCCTGTGATCACGAAGACGAGCAAGTCTATAGATATCTTGTTCTCCATCCTTAGAGTCCAATTTTTCATACAGCTTCTTGTTCACTTTCCCTTGTGCTTCCTTTACGGCTTTCTTTGCTTGTCTTCTAGCCTCCTTGTATGCTTCTATGTTCTCATCACTACGACTTGTCCCCAGCTTTTTGTAACAATCTCTTTTGTTCCTTATGCCTTGTTTCACCTCATCATTCCACCAAGACGTGTCCTTTTTGGGTGGCTTACATCCTTTAGATTCTCCAAGTACCTCCTTTGCCACTTTGTTAATGGTCAGCTCCATCGATAACCACGCATCCTCCACATGTCTTCCATTATCAAAACACCATACATCTTCACCGAACATTTTATGTGTAAAGCTTTGTTGAAGATCCCCCTCAAGCCTCCACCATTTTATCTTTGGCTCCACTTGTTGCTTAACTTGTCTTCTATGGTTCTTACCTCGAAAGTCAAGCACAAGCATCCTATGCTGAGTGACAACAATCTCACTTGGGATGACCTTACAATCGGTGTAGCTAGTTCTCTAAGTAGTCTGTACTAAGAAGTAGTCAATTTGGGTACTATTAGCTCCATTTCTATAGGTTACAAGGTGAGAGTCTCTTTTCCTAAACCAAGTGTTCATTATGGCCAACTCATACATCGAGGCAAAATCCAAAATGTTCTTTCCCGCTTCATTTCTAGTGCCAAAACCATGTCTGCCATGAATACGCTCACAACATCATGACTCGAGCCCACATGCCCGTTGAGGTCACCTCCTATGACCAACTTCTCTCCCCTTGGCACTCGTCGCACCACATCTTCAAGATCTTCCCAGAACTGTTGAGTTGTAGATGCATCCAATCCCACTTGTGGTGCATAGGCACTTACCACAGACACAATCTCACCCCTTATCACCAATTTAATGCTCATGATGCGATCGTTCTTCCTGAAGACTTCTACCACATCCTCAACATAGTCACGCGCCACAATAATGCCTACCCCATTCCTGGTCTTATCTCTCCCCGAATACCACAACTTAAAACCTTTGGGATTAATCTCACGTGCTTTCTCTACAACCCATTTAGTTTCTTGCACACACATAATGCCGATATTCCTCCTCCTCCTCATAACTTCGACTACCTCAGAAGATCTGCCTGTAAGAGACCCAACATTCCACGTCCCAAAGCGCAATCTAGCACTCCACCTTCTGTTCTTAGCCCCGCCTCGGACCCCACCATGCCCTTGCATATTTGACATCATCCTCGGGCAATGGGATGACGCGCCGCTTCCGGGCGACGACCTAGCAACCTTAGCATTCTTATCACCACACCCAGGCCTATGAAGTGTAGCGCGCCCTTGCATATTTGACACCACCCCCAGGCGGAGGGATGACGCGTTGCTTACGGGAGACAACCTAGCTGTAGCGATATTCATATTTCGATTCATGTCATGTGATGTGACTAGGTGATACTGTTGGCCGTCACGTGCCTACCACAACACCCTCCTCCTTTATCCTGGCTTGGGACAGGCATGAAACCAAAAAATATTGATCTCATGGCGGAGTTGGCCTAGCTATAGCGATATTCATAAAAAATGATTTCAAGTAGTGTCAGTTTGCCACTTGGATATTAAGCCACAAAAAATGGAATTCTCTTTGGAAACCTTAAGTCTTTAACAAAATAAGGGTTTTTGTGTAACTGGATCGGATGTGATTTTAGATGCAATGTAATTTCTTTTAAAGTTTCTCAAATAAGGACTATCTTTGTCTGGTTAAGGTACAACTTTTTATTTCTGGTAAGATGCATATCTTAAAAGTCATGGAATTAAACTTATATTTTCAAAGTAAATTTGTCCTTATTGAACTTTTTTGTAATGTCTTGACATTGTTTGGCAAACTACATTTAAATCACCTTTTTACGGAATAGGACTCTTTTTTATTCTTTTTGGAGCATTTTTTGTTGTTGAAACATGGTCTTTTATAGAAGGAGGTGGTATTTGTTTTGCCTAGTAGCTTCTTTTACATAAAATTTACATCCTATCCTCTTTTGCAAGATAAATTCTGTACCCATTGATATATTTTACAACTAATTGGAGAAATGCTAGTGTCTGTCCAGCCAAAGAAACGTGCATCATAAATCCATAATGATATAGAGAGAATATCACACATCAAGAGATTGTCATAGCATTTATTATTTCATTTTGAAGACCTAATTCTTGCATTGTTGTTTTGTTAGGTCTCTCCTAAAGCTTGTGGTCATACACGCGGCGTGAAAGTTGTGTCCAGAGAGGAAGCAGTCATGAGGATCCAAGCTGCCGTTGATGCCAGGACAGAGTGTGGAGCTGACATTGTGATTGTAGCACGTAGTGATTCACGCCAAGCAATTTCCTTCGAAGAATCACTTTGGAGATCACGTGCTTTTGCTGATGCTGGGGCTGACGTTCTGTTCATTGATGCCCTTGCATCTAAAGAAGAGATGAGATCTTTCTGTGAAGTTTCCCCATTGGTTCCAAAGATGGTATGCTCTTCTCTTCTCATGCCTCGCATTAGTTTAAGTTTCCTATTAACAGTTCTATGCTAGTATTGCTATTGTATTTTAGAGAATATTTATAATGAAATATTGACAATCACTGATGTAGGTTATGACTCTATTTACATGCTCGCAAAGGTATTGAGTAGTACAAATAAGGTTTTAACTTCATCAATAATATCATATGACTCCGATCTTAATCATAAGGCTTTGACAAAGTAAAAACTTTAGGATTTCAATCTAGGAAAAAACACTTCCATGTATGCTCTGTTAAGGATTGTAAACAGTCATATCAGATGAGTCCTTACTACTTTGATTGTAAACATATGGTTATGCTGTATAAAGTCCTTTTTACTAAATGATTTTATTGAAACAGATGTTATTCATGTCACTCCTATTTTTTATGTTATCCATCTCTTCATCATTTGATGTATATATGAAAAGTTTTTGTGAAGATTTAACTTTATGGAAGTGAATTTTCAGGGAGAGAGTAATGATGTAAAAGAATCATTTGCTATTTGTATGACTAGATTACCTCCGCAAAAACGTTGCCTTTCCTTTCTGTGCTGAGATTTAACTGGGTGTGTTTGTTTTTTAGCTTTTGCACAAAATATTACCCTTTGTCATAGTATTAAGGTAAGGGGACTGTTTAATGTGGTTCCATCGTTCGGAAGGAAGAAGAGATTGAGGATGACATCACACACTGTATTAAGACAGGCTGTTCAAAGTGTAAGGTTGTCGCAGACTCGCAGGAGTATTGTGTGACTACCGACTGGAAAGCCTGGTTACAACTGATAGGGAAACTCTACAAGGCATACATCCAATTAGCCTGTTCCATCGCTCAGAAGGAAGAAGAGATCGAGGACGACTTTGCACGCTGTATTAAGACAGGCGTTCAAAGTGTAAGGTTGTTGCAGGAGTATTGTGCGACTACCGACTAGAAAGCCTGGTTACGGCTGATAGGAAAATTCTACAAGGTAGCCATCCAATTAGCCTTAATGTATGGCTCTGACTGTTGGACAATAAAGAAGGCACATGAGTCTTAGAGTTGGAAGTGGTGAAGGTATGATGTTGTGGTGGTCATGTGGTAATCTCATGTTGGTTAGAATATAAAATGTAGTCTTCTGTATTGAGCTTGAATTCACATCTATTACCGAAAACGTGAGACAGAGAACACTGTAGTGGTTGGGCCATGTCTACCACAGAGCTGTGACGACACCTGTGAGGAGGATGGAGAATGTTTTGGTTGAGTGTGAGGAGGAGAGACAAATCATGGACAACATCAGATGACCACTTGAGGCTGGAGTTGGTGCCTTGGCAGTTCTAAACCTTATTGGGACATGGGCTATGACCAAGGTTTGTGGAGAGCCGGATTAAGGTAGCAAATCCTTGTAGGTTTTGGAGGTGTTTGCTGTCCGAGTCTAGGCAACTCTTTTCCATTTTTTCATGTTTATTTACGTGCTACTTTTGTATGGTTGCGTAATTGTTTGCTTACATGTTTATAGTTTATCTTGTGCACCTTGCTTGTTTGCTTGCTTTCCACTGCCCCAGCGCCTCATGGGTTAGCAGTTAGGTCTGCATGCCCATCTCTTCAGACCCTACTTCCAGATGGGATTTATTGACTTTGTTTGGTTTGATTTCGTTTTATGCCCCCCTTTGCCCTCTTAGTTCTATATTGTTCTCTTTTGCAATAATTGTGACCTCTCAAATGAGTTCCCATGCATTGAGACTTTTAGTCAGTTATATCCTCAAAGAAACAGCAATCTTAACTTTGAGTATGGACATTCATTTTCGGCTTTTGGAAATATAGTTTGCAAGACAAAGCTATCTTTCTCAGATCACATCGTAGTTCAATCTTATTGCTGCTACTGTCACATTATAAGCACTATAGCATAATAAAAACATTATTGTGTGTTTGATGTTTTGCTGTTCACCTTATCCAGCTAAACCAAAACATGTGGAGGATTGATCTGATTTTGTTTGTCCCTTTTCCTCTATTTATTGTTTTTACTCCGATATCATACGTCGATTCATGTTAGCCAGCCCCAAACTCTTTTGGGAAGAAGGCCTGGATGTTGTTGTTGTTATCAGCCAGACCAGAAACATTGAAGCCAGACAGCCTAGACTAGATGCTATATTTTGAACAAGAACATTAAAAAAATCACAAACATTTAGGTAAGACCAGACTATAAATATTCAAACCAGATGAAATCTTAAAAGGTTCAGTTTAGGTTTTATTATTCAGGCAAACGGAACAGATTGCCATAGGCATATCAGCGTATGTATCTGGAATCTTGCAGTATCATAAATTGCCATGAACATTGGGCTCCTTTTTATAAACTTCGTTAACAAATCTTTGATGTGCTATCTAGGCTAACATGCTTGAAGGTGGAGGAAAAACACCAATACTCACTCCGGTTGAACTTGAGGATATTGGTTTCAAAATAGTAGCATATCCTCTTTCCTTATTAGCGGTGTCCATTGGTGCTATGCAGGTAACATCTTATGATTTCCTCAAGAAGAAATTATGACCAGTTTTGCATTTTGTACTTGTCACTTTTCGGTTCCTGTGATTTCATTTTACCTCTCAACTCCATTTTGTGTTCAACTGCAACTGCATAAATTTTACTTCTTACTTCATCAGCACTTCGCAATCGTCCAGTCAATATGGGTTATCTATGAGCAGATTTGAGCAGTGAGTAAGGTTCTGTTTGGTTAAATGTTTCCCAAATTTCTTGTGTTTGAGAATTGATATGCGTCTTCTTGGGTTAGATGAGAGTATGGCTTTGGAGAGAGCAAAGTGAAGGGTGCACATTCGTGTGGAAGAGTGATATTTTTTCTATGTTTCCTCTCTCTTTTTGTTTTATCGTTTATCTTCATTATTTTTTTATGTTCTTATGTTATTTTTATTTTCTATCTTTTTTATGCTCTTTTATTATTTTATCTTTTATCTTTTGTATACTTTCCATCATTTGCAATGGAGCCAAAGATTCACTAATTTTTGGCTTGAGAATATGATGGAATAAAGCAAAATGACTCACTAAATTGTCTGCGCTTCTTTGTTATGAAGCAGCAGTTAGTCCATGCCATTTTGGATGCGATTTTCACTATGGGTCATCCAGAAACAGTCTCTCTGTGCTTTAGTACATGGGTAAGATTGCGTACATCCGACCCCCCTTACCCCACCGTAGGTAAATGATGATGATGATCTTATATTTATCTTTATCTTATCCGTTTGATTTTATTTTTTCCCCCTTATCTTTCTTCTCTTTTTAGCACTGATATCATGGATCGATTCATGTTAGCCGACCCCAAAATCTTTTTGGATTAAGGCTTGAATGTTGTTGTTGTTGATGTCAATTGGAGCTAAAACTGCAATATCATTATTACCAACAAACCTTACCTCATGCTTGGTCGAATCATTAGGCTTGCTTTACCTCCTCAACTTTACTTGAACACAATGCATTTTCATTTTTGTTGCACTATTATTAGAATATTTTGGTATCCTAAATAGGACATTCGTTTAATATAAAATATTTTAGTTCTCTCTTACCAAAATAGAACCTCAATCAGGCCTCCAAACTAGTACTCCCTCCGTCTGAGAATAAGATTCTTCACTATTTATGCAGTCTACTTACCTTTAATCTCTGATTATATATATATGAAAGGTTGGTTTTGGTGTTCAAAAGAACTTTTAGTGTAGTTTCTAAATATGTAAATTTTAATTATTAATGCAAATTTTAATATTAGTAGGTGAGAGTTAACTTTATCATGAGTAAATCATTGTAAACCAAAAAAGTGACTTGATGTGGACATAGGCAGTACAAGCTTAGGGCTTAAGCCAATCTGATAAATTTTGTCAACCAATTGGGTATGCAGAAAAAGATCTTTATATTTATTTACGCCCTCATCCCCGAAAACCCTTTCCTTTTTCTTGCATCCCAAAATGAGGTTCCTCTTTCCTTTTAAATAAGAAATGTACGGTCCAATTTCATTCCCCTTTCCTTTGCATAAATATTGACTAAGTTTTGCTGTTTTGAATAAGTGAGTCAAGTCAAAGGAGGACCCTTTTTAGGGTGGATGGAGTATAATATTACAAACTACCTACGATTATCATTTTTTTAACAGTGACAGCAGGCCATTGTTCTGTCAGCTTGCTCCAATCCAATTCACCCACATCAAACATGTAGGTATCAAATCTCAAACTTACCTTAAGGAATCCCTATCCTTGCCTGGGGTTACAGATCTCTAACCTCGCACTACTCATGAATACTGCCTGGAGTAGGAAAAAATAATCCCATAGAGTGATAGAGAGCAAAATGTTTTTTTTGCAATCGCCAGACTGAAGTGTAATGGACAGTATTCCTATGCTTAGTGATATTGTGATTGGTAACATCCCAATCCACCCACCCACCCACACAAGACTGCTCTTATACTACAGCATTTGTTATAACTTATAAGAAGTAACAAATGAAATTGGATGTTTGTCACCTTCTTAAGCAACTGATTTCTTTTGCTAAAGTCGCTTTTAAGAAGAAAAGATAACCTCCAGCGAGTTTTTCCCACTAACTTGTGAAAATCCGCCTCCTCAAAAAAATTGTGAAAATTTGCAAACCAGAATGACTTCTACACAAGGCTGCTATTTGATTTTTCTAGATACTTTCAGGGTGCATTGGCAGCTATTAGGAGTGGTCGTTTGCCTTCACCCGGAAGCATGCCATCATTTGAAGAAATAAAAGACATACTCGGTTTTAACGTGTACTATGAAGAAGAGAAACATTATGCATTTAGCACCAGCCATCTCTCTTCCCAGAGAGGTTAGTGTTTTTTGCATCTACAACCTCTGCATTGCTCATTTTCCGCATATCTTCTTCTCTTAATATTATTATTATTATTACTGTTGTTGTCGCTCCGCCTTGTTGTCACATTAATCTATTTTAGTGTGGGAAAAAACACGAGTTTTTTTATTCAAATAAAAAGAGCTTGCAGTTTCAATTTATCTATCTGCATCAAGTATAGAACTAAGTTTTAGATATCATAAGACAACTGTGACTATGGCACTTCACACAATTTCTATGATGACACAGAAGTGATAAGTCAGAGACTGCAAGATGAGGTGGTTGAAGTATTAACTCCTGAGGTATCTCATTCCTATAATAATGGAGATAGTACAAGAGGATCTTTCTCGAGGATGTGGTCTCGAAAGTTGAGGGTTAAAATTTCAGGAAGAGATGGGTTTGACAAACTGGATATAAGAATTCCTGTAAGTCATACTTCTTTTGGCTATTGCCTCTATACAAGAAAAAGAAAACAATAGAACTATAGTAGACCTTGTTTAAAAATCATAAATACAATGCTTTTCCAAGTTGTTAATACTTCTAGTTGCAAGTTGACTAATACTACCTACGAACAAAACAAGTCTTCGTTTTAATAGTAAAATAGCACAAGTTATTAACAAATGCCCCTGAATGTAGCTCAACCCTTGCTTTGACCCTTTGAGCATCTATTTGTATCCATCTCGAAGGCTTGGGGACGCCATCCAGTTCACACCCATCATTGACAATGTGTCTCACCACTTACTACCAACGTTGTAAAAAGTGTACATTGACATATAATGACACGCACTTGCCACAATTATAGTGAAGGCTGTGCCACATTGCCGGTGCAGTGCATCAATTCTGTTGCCCTGCCCACCTCTGTTGTGTTAACATTTTCACATGGAGGGGTGTCTGTTTTAAAAAAATGTGCATGCTAACTTTCACCCTTGCGCACTGGGCAGTCTGCTAATTTAGTGGTGGGATTTGAGGGCCCCCCATGGTGTGTTTAGTGGACCGTTTTTAGGGGGTAAACCGGTCAACCATTTTAGTATGGAATAGTCGTGAATTATTATACTTATTTAGACCGTTGTTGAGGTCTCTAAGGCTTCATGTTAGCCGGTCCCAAACTCTTTTGGTACCAAGGCTTGGATGTTGTTGTTTTTGAGATCTCTAAGGCGGAAATATTATACTCATGAATTAGTTGTATTTATTAAGATCAAAATGCTCGTTGGAGTCTCATTGACCTTGATAGCATTATAAGATTTAAGTTTCATCCAAATGTCAATTTGATAGATGGAGTAGCCCAAATGTCAGCCATTATTTTAGTTTGTATTGTTATATGCGTGAGATGACTTAACAATACTTATCATCTAACCTTTCTCCCCTCGTTTTTTAAGGCTGGATTTTTGGAAGGAATCACAAACATAGTGCCAGGTATTCTCTGGACGTCCCATTCACATCACCAGTTCTATCATTGTTCATTTTCTTATATATTTGGGGTATTCTTTTGTATATGCAGCACTGGTGGGGGTGAACCTGAAAGAGCTTTTGGACAATACAAGCTTTGATGATGGAGGGAAGCAGTTGCTAGATTTCAAGGATACCATGGGAGACAGGATTCAAGTTTTCTTGGAGTAAATGAACCGTGTAAGTATGGGTTGAGGCCCCATCTCCCCACTCCACCTGAGTTCAGACCTCAAGCCCAACAAAATGAAGAAACATCACTGAAGAATACAAGGCACTGAAAAATCTATTCTAACTATAGAGATATTGATATTTGAAATGACGGCTAATACCTGAAATGGATCTTGACTATTGTGAGTTTGTGACAATACCCAGTTAAGTTCCAAACTTTTTTATTAGTTAGATTTGTTCATGAACTTTGATCTATTTACCTAGCTTAGTCTTCTCTTAATTTACTGGAAGCCATATGGATAGTAAGAATAAAAAAGGAACATAGGAGGTGTTTACTTCGCTGCTAAAGTCACTGTTAAGTTAGTAAGACATACGGAGTATAAAATAAACATGCACGCCGCTTAAAAGACCACTTAACTAACCGAAAGAGGTGCTTAAAGTGCCGCTTAATAAGCATACCACCCCCCATGTATTAATTAAGTGACACTTTAAGCTTTTTCAGTTTCCGAATTTACCCCTTGCTCTTACCCTATTGTTACCGCCTACCCCACCCAGCCCCTACTACCCACCCAACCCCTATCCTACCCCTACCCTACCCTACCTTACCCCACCCCACCTGGCCCCATTACCACCCCTACCTCACCCCAAACCCCTAAGACCTTACCACCTACCCCAACCCTAACACATCGGCCCTACCTCAAACCCACCCGGGGGCCTACCTCGTACCACATCGGCCCCACCCAATCCTATCCTAACCCCTACCCTACCTTACCCCGACCCCTACCCTAACCTACCCAACCCACCTGGCCCCTTACACCCCAACCTCAAACCCCTAGGCCCTTACCACCTACCCCAACCCTAACACATCGGCCCCACCCCGACTGCACCCCCTACCACATTTGCCCCACCCTACCATACCCCGACCCCAACCCCACCCCAACCTAGGCCCCTTTACCACCTTACCCCCAACCCCCACCACATCAACCCCACCCCGACCCCACCCCTACTCCCTGCCCCTACCTTACCCCGACCCTACCTTACCTACCCCACCCCCACCCCAGCCCAAACCCCTACCCCCTACCACATCGGCCCCACCTTATCCTACCTTACCCCGACCTACCCGGACCTCACCCCTAGGCTCTTACCACCCCTTACCCTACCCAAAAACCCCTAGGCCCTCACAATACCCCAATCCTACCACATCGACCCTCACCTCGACCCCACCTTTATCCCGACCCCACCCCTACCTACCCCCTACCACATTGGCCCCAACCCCACCCTATCCCTAACCCTTACTACCCTACCCCTTACCACATCGATTCCACCTCCTACCCCACCCAACGTGGGGTAGGATGTCGGTAGGGTGGGCCGGGATCTGGGTGAAGCCGAGGTAGGGCATTGTTGTAGGGGGTGGAGTGGGGTGGGGTTGGGATCAGGGTGGGGTCGAGGTATGGGAAAGTGGTGTAGGGAGTGGGTTGGGTTGTGGTTAGGGGTAAGGGTGGGGATTGTGGGTAGGGTGGGTTCGGGGTTGAGGTAAGGGGGTAAGGTAGGGGCTGGGGTCAAGGTAAGGTAGGGTACGGTAAGGGTAGGGGTGGGGGTAAGCAGGTGGGGTCGAGGTTTGGGTAAGGTAGGGTATGATCGGGTGGGGCCAAGGTTTGGGTAAGGTAGAGTAGGGGTATGATCGGTTTTGGGTAAGGTAGTGTAGGGTATGATCGGGTGGGGCCGGGGTGGGGGCGGCATGGTAGGGTAATGACCTAGGGTAGGGTGGGGGGTCAGGGGGCGGATGGTAAGGGGTGGGGGTGGGGTAAGGTAGGGCAAGAGTATGGTAGGTAGGGTGGGGCCGATGTGGTAGGGGGTAGGGGTTGGGACCTAGGTATGCTGGGTAGGTGGGGGTAGGGGTAAGGTATGGCAGGAGTATGGTAGGTAGGGTGGGGTCGGGGTGGGGCCGATGTGGTAGGGGGTAGGAGTTGGGACCTATGTATGCTCGGCAGGTGGGGTCGGGGTAAGGCAGGGTGAGGGTTAGGGGTTAGGGGGTATGAGTACACGTATTATATTATATATTTGTGTTCATGAATGTTTGTGTGTCTATATATGTATATGGTTATTTTGGACATTTTAATGTTAAACGGTGTTTTAAACCTTTTGAAGTAAACACGATCTTACAACATTGCTTATTTTATGCGCCGCTTATTAACGCGAGTCTTAATAAGCACCGTTTAGTAACCCGTAAAGTAAACATGTCCATAGAGTTCATTAAAGCGGGAGATGATACGACTCATCATTGCCTAGTTATAGGCATGGACCCGGTACCGGTCCGGTCCTGGTCCTAAAGAATGGAGGCTCGGAACCGACCCACCGCGGTATCCCTGCCTTGTTCCTCCTCCACCGTGGGCTCCTTGGCGGCATCACCCTCAATATCTTCGTCAATCTCGGAAAGGCTTTCTTGTTGCAAAAATCGATATTGGTTTTGAGACAAGAGTTACGCCATTTGTTTGTCGATCATGCAATCCTATCGTTACAATTGACCTCCCAAGCATCACGGCTCGGGGACGAAGATGTTGCCTCAACATGCCGTTTACCATGAGACCGCCAAGAAAAATGAGATTGCAAAATCTCCTTACGGGTGCGTATAGTAGGAGATTACTTAAATCAACAATATTTCTAGTGCCCGACATGTTAAAATGTAACAAATATAAAAATGTGACTAATATTAAATTGTTACTATCATTAAAATATGATAAATATTAAATTGTCTCAAATATTAAAATTTACTATGTAACTAATACTTCGTATTGCAATGTGACTAATATTAGTATGATGATGTAACAAATATTAAAATGTAACTAATATTAATATGATGATGTAACAAATATAAAAATGAAAATAATATTATGTTACCGACAATTATATGGCCGCACATATAAACGAAGAAGTCGGTGTGGAACAGGTGTAATTAATGAACAAAGTGCTAAGGGAAAGAATCAAGCAAGAATTTTTTTTGAAAAGAAATAACTTGATTATTATTGATAAAGATAGCAAGGACAATTACAATCATATACTCTTTTTTTTTACTCCAGGGGGTCTGGGGAGGGGGGCTGTGGGGCCTAGAGTAATCAGAGTTTAAACTCACTCCATTGAGTTTCGAACCCTTATGTGCCTAACGGGTTTTGAACTCAAGACCTCTCACTAGGCACGATAACCTTACAACCAGCTGGACTGGAATGCTTGGTTGGACAATTACAATCATATAGCTCAAGACTACAATGAGATGATACATAGATACAGATGATTCAAATCCAGCAAAGAAGTAGACTTTACCTTAAGATTGACTGTTCATGCTATGATAACAATATTTCTTGAATAAATTATTGAACATCCCAGTTTGTCCAGCCACCGGTAAGGAGCCAAGCGTAGAATTTGTTTCGGTTTCACCAGCCACCGAAAAGAAAGCACTCCATATGATCCCAATCACTTCACCGGCGATCTCATCTTCATGTTCTTGTGGCTAATGGATATCGGGTACCTTTTTAGACACCTGTCCTCGCCTTGCTTTCTGTGTGGAAGGCCACAACTTTACTGGTGACTTTTATGTGCTTCATCTGGACAGGTTTGGCCTGGGGTCAATTGAATGGGATTTTGTCGTCTTTTAAATTGGAGGACACTCTGGTGAAATGACATGGTCATGCGAGCAAACCTACTCTTCAAGCCCACATGCTCCCCACCCCATCTACCAACATGGAGAGACTCATTGACCAGTTTGATTGCTAAAACCCAGACAATCACTTAGTGGCCCACACCACGATCAGTAACAACATTACACGCTTTTTTGGGGCTAGCCGGTTATTACCTAAAATTTATTCACCTGTATGGTGAGATTGCCGAACCAGTCACACAATTGCTAAAGAAGAGTGCTTTTACCTAGACTGACGCGCCTGAACTGGCGGCATTCAACGACCTCAAAATGCGCCTCTCCTCAGCCCGAGTTCTCCAATTACCTAATTTTGAAAAAGAATTTGTCGTGGAATATGATGCATCGGGATGTGGTTTTGGGACAGTATTACAACAGGAAGGCCATCCCATTGCATATGACTTAATTTTTGTAAGTCACTATTAATTAGTCAATATAGAACAAGTGTCATATATTGATCCTTTTAGAAGCATCCAATCGATTTAATGAAATAAATTAAGGACGATAACTTGTAACCCGAGGTGAGTATTCTTGACTGTCACAACGAGAATCTCAGGTCCAACTATTCTATCTAATTAATCCATTTGTTTCATGATGAAATCAATTAAGATTGATAACTTCAACGCAAGTGGTTTTTTGGTTTAATCAATATAATTACTCCCTCTTAAATTATTAATCATGAGACACATGCATTAATAATCTAAGATTACTACTTGTGAAAGAACCAAGTGAATAACAAGCGTATTCATTGATCGATTCTCGTAATAATCAATATGAACACACATCAACTAATTGATCACTTAATGATGCTCAAATATCAATATGGAATGTGAATAGGTAGGGAAGTAATTAATATTCAAGAGAGGAGGCTTAAAGATATAACTCTCAACTTGCAATTCACAAGCTTCAATATAGCAAAACGAAGCTCTAAAGACTACTAAAATTACAAGGATAAACTCCAGATGAAAGGGGGGCTGATGTGTCTGTAAAATGGGAAGAAAAGTGGTGTTTTTATAGATAAATGATGTGGTTGGGTCTGATACCCGACCAGGTATCTAGGATACCTGACGGGGTACCCTTTGTAGTAGCTACGAAAAATGCTGAAATCTAGTCATACCCGACCGGGTATGTCAATATACCTGATCGGGTATAAGACCAAATCTGATTTTTCCATGTTCTCTTACATTATTTGATCTCGTATGATCTCCGGGTCAAATCATATCCGATCGGGTATTGCATATACCCGACTGAGTGTGATACCAAATCGGATTTTTCACATTTCTTTGTTTCCCATGAAAGAAAGTTGGAAGGAAAGTGGTGTTTTATAGCTATTTAAAAACAGACCAAATCTGTGTTTCACTTTTTTTTTGTCTCCCAAATCGGATACCAAATCAGACACAAATCATGCTCCTCCTTATGCTCCCAAGCTCATTGCTCTTGCTTTTCTTCATGTTTCTTACTTACATGTTAAAACCTCTTAATATCTTCTAATTCTAGTCTTATTTAGAAAATAAAGATTACACCGAAATTGTACAAAAGCTGAGTAAACACATTGTAAAACTATTCTAAAATGGTTGTTTTATGCATTACTAAATAGCACATATCAAGGTCATTGGTCG